CTAGCTGTAAAATTATTATTATCAAGACAAAATATACAAAACAATAATGCCGATAATCGTTTTAAAAAATTCTTTTATTGTCTATTAACATTTTGTTTATTTTTAGGTATTATACGTCAATTAAAAATAACTCAATTGAAACCATCGGAAATTATAGCAACAATTTTCACGTGTTCAATCCGACAATTCGTTTCAATTATTTTTGCATTTTTATTATATACAACATTAGTTGATGAGCAACATCCATATTATAAAAAATATTTAAAAAAAATTTTAAGTTTTCATCTATTTACACCATTAGCTAAATTAAGTTATTCTGTTTATTTATTGCATTTTCGTATAGCATCGGATCTTGTTTATAAAGGACCATTATATAAATTATTAACAGTACATATTGATTTAGCTACATCAATTTGTTTTATTTTTACATTAATTATATCTCTATTGATTGGTTGTATATGGTATTGTTTTGTTGAACAACCATTTCTTAGATTAACAAATAATCTTTTCCATTTGGCTACTTCTCCATCAAAAGATGAACAACAATCATTGATTGATAATAATTCACTTGGTTTAAAAAAAGAAAAGTAAAAATTAAATGTGATTGATGTTACTTCATTACCTAAATGAGTTAGTTGCATGATCATTGCTATGCCCAGTTCAGTGTATTGCTTATGAGCGCGCTATGGCACGGTAGTGCAATGGCTTTTCGTAAAAGCCCTAAAAGAGTCTAAACTGGAATTTATCTAGCGCAAAACTTTTATATATTTTCTTTACATGAAATTATGTCATTGAAGATCTTTTATATCTGTTGTATAAGTAGATCTCTACTATAGATTATGGATTCGATTCGTACCGCAGTTTTGGTTGAGGTGTAGATGTTTTGCAGACTGGTTTTCTCGTTTGATATCTCTCGGAAGTTTGACGATCATATGCCAATGATCAGTACCCATGCCAGGCTATTACATGATGCTTTTTGATTTATGGCATATTCAACTTTTTGGTAACCATTGGTTCCTAATAAAATCCGGTGGAGAAGTAGAAACTGAATATGCCATAAATCCAAAAGTACCATGTAATAGCCTGACATGGATACTATTCATTGGCATATGAACACCAAAATTCCGAAAATTATCGCAAAATAAATGCGATATTCAAATTCAAAAATCAAAAAATTAAATTTTTTGTTACGCATTTCATAAGTTAGTTTTAATTCGAACAGTAATATTGCGATATTAGTTGATTGCATTTGTAACGTAGAAGTTGAATGTCGCATTTATTTGTCATCAAAACCCATTTTCATTGTATAATTCGGCAAATACTATCAAAAACCTGACGTTTCTTAAATAATTCTATTTTTAACACTGATTTCCCCTCCTGTATAATAGAATGCCATCCTTAATAGAGTCTGGAGCGAAAATTTCTGAAAAGCCCCTTATGCGGGGCAATTTTTCACCAAAAAAACTGCTATGTATGAAACCATAATAGAAGACCATGGCCTTCTAGGGTGGGTACAACGTTTTTCGTACTTCTCACCTGGTCACTCGAAAGAGCATATACAGTTACATCTACACAAGAAAGTTTACATTGTTTCCATGTTTCTTTGTGATACAGCAGTAGAAACATCGAGATGAACACAAAAGTTTTTGCAATTTTTGGCCATTTTTTGGTATTTTTGGACATTGAACGTAAAGCTGACACATTTTTGAGTTCAGATTCTAGGAGAGCAAACATTTCTACACATTTCTAATGTTTTTTCAGAATTTTAGA